TGAACGCCAATCGTTCATAACACTAAACGATTAAACGTTTTAAATACGGTTATATCAAAAGGTTGATATATCGACAAAATGTACTCGATGCACAGTTTGCTAGTTTTTATTATACTTATTTTTTTTGTTTGATGCATTATGTATATAAATATTAAACATGGTAGGTATAAATTGGTGATGGGAAGTTTTGAATTAAACGATTGATCTGGTAATTTTGATGGTTTTCGGGTATGAATTGTCGTTTTCTTAACCACTTGCCTGTGTAAATCGGACAGGATTTAGTAATGTAATGAATGGGCGTCGAAGCAAAAAGCACATTAGGTGGGCGATTCCAAAGGTTAGGTTTCTCTCCTCGTATTTCACACAACAGCGCTTAGAGAATGCCTGCAGAAACTTTTAGTGTGCTCGTAGGGCTGGCAATTATTAAGACGCTGAATGGGGGGGGGGGGGGGGTATACCTTGAGATTTACGGGTTTATTCAACAACTATACACTTATGGGCGTTTAAGGAGAGATTGAGTATATTTGTTGAATATTATCATCCAAATCTGCATAGTTCAAAAATATTAATAAAAAATAAAAATGCGTAATGTTGTAACAATATTAATATCAATATTATTTCTTTTCAGTGTAATTTCGATTCGTTTAACTAGTTACGTACATTCATCAATCGTACCATATTTGAATTTCATTAGTTATTCATTATAATATTTTTCTTTTTTGGTTATAAGGATCGAAAAAAAATAATGATACACCTTCTTAAAAACGTATAAATTAGTGAAGATACGATATTTTACTTGTATATTTGTTAGCTTATTAAAAAAAAATTGGATACAAACATCTTGTATAGAATGATACTTTTCTAGCAGTCAAATATGTAGCCATAAAATGCTACCAATAGGATATCATCTTCGACATATCGTGCAAAATTAATTCAGCACTATGAAAAAAACCTGTATCTTAAAAATAAAATTATACATTTTTATAGAAAAAAACAAACTTGTTCAAAATCGAACGTAAATAAAATACTGCTTGAATTTGTAATAATTTATATAATTAAACCCAGTGGTATATTTCTTGAAGTAAATAATAAACAATACAAATAAGAAAAATATATTTTTAATATTTATTTTTAATTAGTGATTATTACGAAATTGTTTGCAATGGTAGTAAATAAAAATAATCTGAACAACTAAAATTATAATAAAAATTATTACTAACTAATAGGTATAATTGTACAGTTAAAACATATAATATATAGATCAGGGTACATATTATATTAGATATTCACTCTTAATATCTTTTTCTTTTTTATTACTTTTTGTTATTGTAAAATCAAATTACTCACGCTACAGATATTTTATTCTAAAAACTGTCGTCATACCTTTATCATTCACTAAAATTAATGTATTTAATTGGATGCATAAAATATATACATTTTTTAAATTCAAAATTGAAAATTATGTTTTATTATTAATATTTGTTATGTGATATTATATTTAATAACGACCACTGATTTGTAAAAAATATGAAAGTTATAATACATGTAACATGTATAACGAAGAAGATCAGTGTCTTGAAATATATATCTAAAAGAGCGGAACTTTACACCTGTTTTGAAGTGGTTGTTGATTTTTCGTCAAGGAAAAAATTAACTTTAAATATTTGACTGAAATAGTGTCTACGGCAACTGTGGTGGTTTATTGTTCTATATGGGTGAGTCTTATAATATACAGTAATGGTAGCTTAATGACATTATTTGTTTTACCCGTTTTCTTGAAATAAATCTCGTAATCACTGTAGGGGCGAAATTGCAATGCAAAAGATAGGGGTGATTAAGTCCCTTTATTTTTTTTCATATTATCTTATGGTTGTGGATACCTGCATAATGACTATACAAATGTAAATTAATATAAACAAATTTGGGGGTGCTAAGCCTATCAACTACTGAATACTACAATCAAATAATAATACACGAATAAGTGACATGTTTTGAATTACGTAAATAATTTAAATGATTTTCACCTGAATAATTATCTTTAAGGATTACCTAACACATATTCATTTATATTCATTATTATATTATAAAGTTACGATATAATAGTCAAAACATTTTTTGAAAGTACAAAGAATAATTCAATTTACATAAGCTGTTAGCACATTATGTTCAACGTCTGCAAACTACGCTTACAGTGTGGTGTACGATATGTGTGTACAACAAATGACCACGTGTTGCAGATGGCTCGTTTGGAATCAAACATTTTGATATGGATTTCAATATTCATAAGTGACGTTTAAGTTTGATTTATGTTTCTTATATCATGTAAAAATACAACCATGGCCATGACGAGAGCAGATATTGCTGGACTTAAGTGATACATATTATCCTTATAGACTTAAGAACAATAATATGCACACTGTTTATTGTTATTCCTTGATATTATTTTGAAGTTAATCAGAAAATGTTTAATTGATGGTGAGAATCTATTTTTTTACGTAATTGAGGTTTGTAAATCATGTAAAAATATGGACAGCATTACTAAAATTTAACTTTTAACCAATACAGTTTCAAATATTATGTCACAGGTGATTTATTTTTATACATAGAATATTTTTTTGTAATGGACAATGTATGACGTAATGTTGAACAGTAGAAATTTATCTGTCGATGAGCTAACACCGCATCGTCTGTTACTTTCTTTTACGTACTTAAGTGCGCTGTAGTAGTTTTATTTATATATTATATTATTATGATGATAAAAATAATTTTACGATGTAAAAAAGTGTAGTAATTATAGAGTTTAACATAAAACGTTGGATGTAATTTTGGATATTACTTAGGCGATTTCAGGTAAAACATTGCACGAAATAACCGATTATCGTGAACATTCTATAAACCAATATCCTGCAATGAAAGCCCAAGTGCAAATACGTCTTTTTTATTATAAATAATTGTAGTAAATTTACTGGGTTTTTACGTATGAAAAACATTTTTAATAATCGACTGTCAATATTCTATATTTATGTATATTAAATTGATTGCTGAGTTAAAATAACTTTTATATTAACAAAAAAAAAAATAATCAACAATAGTAAAGTGAAGTAAAAGCCATATTTTCCAGTTTGCATTCATCTTACAATTTAGTAAATGTCATCATATTTTTAAAAAATTTTTTAAGAATAATTAGTATTAGTGGGCGTATATAAACATGTCTTAAAAAAATTATTCAATATTTCATCAATTTCACAAGCAGTAATGTTAGAATTAGTAAAGTTGTAACTTATCATGGCCTGCTTTTTTAAGACATGTTAATGTTTTAATCGTGGATGGCTACAATTTAAAAGTGGGGTGTTTTATTGACTGAAATATTCTAATTCATCCAACCTCGAGTACATAATATGATTTTAATATATAAATACTGAATGTATGACTGGAAAATAGATTTATTATGAAATCTTATAACTGTGGTGGGTATTGTTAAGACAGACGCTCTTTTGTCACACAAATTCGCACAACTGCAAATATTCCATAACTTGCTATTAACTGATATAGTTAAAAAAAAGCGCCCATGTGAATGATTGACATGTAATAACCTGTAATTGTCTCCAGAAGGATATTGTATCCTAATATACGTTTACCGATGTTGACATACCTTTTGAAAATCACCTATTCACCTATGCAACAAAATTGCATACCCGACGCGCCGGCTAACGGATGTGAATATACACACAATAACATTGTGACAAAAACTGACTCTAGGTGACGTCGTTTATCTTGTATAATGTACAATATTATAATTATTAATGCTCTGTATATAATATGGAACATAATGGTCTTGTGTATTGGTCGATTTTCCTATAACTATAATTTTTTTCTTATCAGGAACAGATATTGATATTGACTTAAAATTCTGCTAAAAAGTATATAAATTAAAAAATAATAATATTATGTTAATATTATTAGAGTTAGCCAGTTTAAATATGGTGTATGTTCAAAAGATGAATCGTATGTTTTTTCGCAATTAAATTAAATTTAGTTTTTTTTTTTTTAGAAAAATTGAATTAAATATAATACGTTTTATAGACTTTTACAGAGAATGATGACCAATTAACTAAAATGTCTTGGAAAAAAATCTATAATTTGTAAGAATTGACATTCTACATTTTTAACGGTTGTCTCGTTTATACTGACTTTAAGTAAAACACTTCAGTCCAAAAGCCACTATGAAGTACACAAATTCAGATGCCACGGTCGCCTCTTAGTGTGCCCACTTGACTGCAGTCAGTATTGTGAAATAGTGATCCATCATCTGTCGATTACAATATTTTAGTGATCCAATTGGAATAATATTTCAATTAGGTTTTATAAGTACCTAAATACCTTTCACTAATAAATGAATAACATAATTAATACAAAAAAATTATAAATCGTTTTAATAATAAACGCGAAATTATTTTAAACATCAATTTATTAGTCAAGTGCGTAGTAGAACTGCACAACATGTTACAGTCCATACACGATGTAAGTAATCTCAGCCCTCATTAAAATAATATGCTACTGTGTTGTGGGAAAATCTGAAAAAATTTTCAACGTTCTTAAAGACTCTAAAATTTTGTTCGCACCTGTACGTCGTAAGTACTACGACGACTGCAGTTACGCCGATCACGTCAGCGAATGGTAAATTAATTTTTAAAACATTGTTCTTCTCGGACGTAGGGGTTATTTTTGTATGTGGGGGGGGGTGGAAGTGATTTTTTCCACGATTTCGGTGGCGGCGATGACCGGAGCAACAGGAGGACCACCACCGCCACGTCGGTTTAGGTACCGCCGAATAAGAAGAATATTATTAACCCGCGTGGCGGCGTCGGCAGAGACCGAACGTGATTCGCGATCGTCGATGGGCAGGCGGGGTGGAAATGGGCGGCCAGGAAACGGCGGCTGCTCGACGACAGGCCGCGGCGGACCCGATGCACGCGCTCCGCATTCTTTAATTCGGCTCCGGGCCAAACGCACCGCCGCCGCTTCACAACACGTTGTCACGTTGCCGCCGGTTCACTGTCACACGCGTATCCGCCTCCGCCACAAAAATAATAACGACTTGACAACACAATAACATGTAATATTATCACACCGTAGTACGCGAACACGTGGGCGCTCGTCGACCACCCATCCCAGAGACTCGCACGCGTTTCCCGGTAAGTAATTATTCCGTCGTATTTCGATTCAATATGGTTGTCGTAGCACAACGACAGGTCAGATTATTGTCAGAAGATAATAACAACACAACACGGTATTGTGTCATGCGTACATATTATATTATATGTATGCCTCCGAAAGTCCTCGATCGAGGAGGAGAATGGAGGGGGAGGGGTTGAGAATTGCCGGCACCTTTGGTAATATCGACATTAGAACACAGGAAATCCTATGGTCTCGGACAATAATAGTTAGCGAATTGTGACAGTGGTTAAATTATTTAAGGTATTTATTTTTTAAATTGATTTGACTTTAGATTATTTAATATTTGTTATTACTCATGTTGTTTTGAATTCACTATTTGTTTTATTATCATATTTTGTAATTTTTAACAAACTAATAATTTAAAAAAATATACTATGAACAAAAATTATTCGTGGTTGAGTCAAGACGTCCTGGCATCTTGAAGTGCGTAGAATTTTTCATATTTTTTAGCGATTTACAAAGATTTTTTCAATAGTTATATATTTGACTGTTAAAAACACGATTATTATGATTTAATGAATTTCTGAAAACACTTTAAAATAAAGTTATTATGAGTATATTATTCTCTTTGAACTAAAACAGAATAAACCGAGGATAACAAAAACAAAGAATTCCATATTTTTGTAAAGGTCATTTAAGTAATTTAATTAATTCTCTTCTTTAAACCACAAAAAAAGTGTAACATTTAATATCAAAACCATGTTTAAAATAAAAACAAGAATTTATTTGAGAGTAAAAACTTTACAATGTTATTAAATTAATAGTATATAATTGAAAATAAAAATATGCTATTCAAAAGTATTTTAAAAATGTCATATAGTGATAAAATTATATTTTCAAAAGATAATTAAAAAGAATAAAAACTTGTTGTAATTTTAAATATTTTAGAAATAAATAAAAACAAATATTTACTTAAATATTGATGAACATTAAATGAGTATGAAAATCCGGTAGTTTCTACATTCTAAATGAAGTATGACGTAGCATACTGCAATATTTGGATATTATAAATTGTGGCTTAGAGTAACTAAATTATCAACATTGTTTTCATAAAATACAGATTTATATTAGTAAAAAATGTTTGTCACTTATCAACATTATTATAAGTTTTCAAATCTAAGTATGTACTTTTTTTAGTGAATTATATATTTTATGTCTGAAAAAAAGTCGTCTATCTATTACGATAACAATAAATTACACTTTCTATTTAAATCTTTATTTAAATAAAATAATAATTTGGATGAATTGAAATATGTAAGTCATTTAAGACTTTATTTTCAAAAATAAAGATGCTTTAAAAAAAAAAAATTATAATTGAATGTCTTAATTTAGCCTTTATAAAATTATTTTTAGTTTTTAAATAGCTTGAACTATTTTATTCTGTTGATCTTAAAGTAACTCAATATACGCATTTTTGCATTCAATAATTTAAAACATTGGCAAAAATTGAAATTATTAAAAATAATATAAATAATATAATTTAATTAATTGCTCAATGATTTTATTCAGTATAAATTCTGAAAACGGCAACTCAGTAGCATGAAAAAAAATATGGTTTTGAAATTATTAACATTATATTATAATGCGATTACAATATTTTATATAATGTTTTGGTATGTAATACAATTATCAGATAAAATAAATAATTCAAATAAGTTGAGGTTAGAAAATGACAGTCCAAAATTATTTCTTCTTTTAAGTGTCTTAAAACAAAAATACTTTATTACTTTTCATTAATTTGTGTTTGTTTTAATTCCAAAACTGTTACTTACCAATCTTTCACACTTCATACAATATTGGTATTTAAAGTTAAGCTTCTTTCTTTTTCCAATACATGTATTATGACTCTTGAGCATTATTCTTGTATCATAGTTTTCACAAACAGACAATGTAATCAAATACATTCTAACCAGGGTTATTAATTAATAACTATGAAGCATAATATTCAAGAATTTAGAATCGGTTTACAAAAATAATTAAAATCCATGTCCATTGACTACGGCGAGAATCAATAGATACGAAAAAACAAAAACCACGTGTTTCATTAGATGTATAAATTATCAAAATTATAGAACGGAGTCCCTTGGAAAAATGTGGTAATTATTTATTAGATAGGTAAGCATTTTAGAAGTAAAGAATAGAATTATGTATTATTACCTTTTCATAAATACTGTTTTTGTTTTTAACGGATAATTTATTGTAATACCAAAAACCCATCGTCACCATGTTACACTAAATAAACTTATTTAATTAACTTTTGTATAATTTTTAAGCCTTAGGAATTATATTTGATAAATATTTAAACAGATTTTTTAAAAATAATATAATTAATACAGTCATGATGTTTTAAACACGTTTAGGTAACAGTCAACAATAGAATTTAAAGTTTGAGGTATTAATATTATTTTTAATAAACATCCGGAATATTTGTAATAATGTGTGTTTTGGAATTAAATTTAATGTTCCTAAAGTTTTAATAGATTATTACTTTCTAATGTGTACCTACATACATGTATTGATATTCATGTTTGATTTTTCCATTTTGTCAACATAATATTTAACATTAATCGCGGTTTTATTTGTTTGTCTAAATGTGTAAAATATTTTTATAGTTTCTACATGGTCTATTCACAAATTGTAAAATATTTGTAAAGGTATAATTATTAATTTTTTACATTTAATATTGTTGATAAATAATCAAACGTGGTACAAGAATTTAACTATCTAAACAAGCATCGAAGTATCAGCTGATTATTACTATTATATTTAAAAATAATATTCGTATTTTATTATGTACATAATATGATATTGTTCAGGTAATATAATATATGTTATATTATGTTTACTTATAAAGATGGTTAATATTTGTTTTTAATTAAATTTTATAAAACCATTATTTTCATTTTAATTATGGATTTAGTTTTAGATTTTGATATAAATGTTTTGGTTTTTCAATAGCGTGAGTGTTTTAAAATTTTTTTTTATCTCTTGTCAGTTTTTGGAGCAGTCAAAAGTAAAAAATTCTCCATACTTTTTTTCTTAAATAATTGAGAGAAATAAAAAAATAAGAACAATGGGAATATTTATGTATTTAAAGCTCGACAATATCAATGTTTATTTTTGTTTTTATTCAAAAACGAATAACTGTAAAAACTTGAAATTTTCACCAACTATAATACGAGTATGTTACCATTATCTGTCGACTTCGTATAGTTTTTAAAATATATTAATATTTTTGTGCTATTTATAGAGATTTGAAATTTTCTTCCTAAAAAAAGCTATTTTTTACTATTTATTCATGACAATTTTTTGTATGGGGAGTAAGTAAATTTGGTAATGGTAAGATTATTCTTGTTGAAAATAAATTCTTTAAAATAGCTATAAATTATAACTTATAATTATTGGAATATTTTATTTTTTCATTGATTTTATCTTATATTTATTATGTAGGTATCTATGAACAGTGAAAATAAAATGTAATGGTGTGAAATACGATTACTGTGCTTAATATTTATATTATTATACCTAATATATATCTATTATAAATATAAACCCTAGACGCGTGTGTCATCTTACGTTTGTTCTGTAATACCACAGAGTTCCACCATATAAATACAACTATACAACTATTTCTGATTACTTTACAAAATGTATAATTGTAATAAAATTACTGTATTAACATTTACCCTCGGTGTATGTAAATGTTTTGTCTAATATTATAAACATCGAAATCCTCTAGTATTCCCACTTTTGGTATTTATCTGTCACTGATACACTACACCATACCTGAGATAGACAACTTTTATAATTACTACCACGTAGCACCAACTTGGTGTTATTAGATTTTTTTTTCTAACTGAAGTTTTGTATTATTTGCTTTCACTCTCACACCTTCCATTAATTCGGTGAAATAATATACATATATTTGTATCATGTGTATATGAGTAGTATTATTTGTTTAGGTATATAGATATAATACTTTAGGGGTACTAAAATTTTAAAACTACTTAATAATGTTAGTATGTTTCTTTAAAAGAACCCTTTCTCGAAGCGTTTTTTAATTACCTATAATTCTAATAATAGTAAGAAGATAAGATTTTATAAATGATATACCTAAGCGCAAACAACTCTGTAAAGTGATATTGACATGTTTATAAAAATATTGCATAATATTTTCAATACATTTTTTTTAAAAACATGATTAAGAAATTGTATGAGTACCTGGATCATTTTATTTCCGGTAGTATTTATGATAAACATACAAAAAATATTTAGAAAAAATGTGTATTATAATACAATTCTTATAAGCTAATATTCCAGGAGATAAATAATTATAAAATTAATTAAATTAAATTAAAATTAACAAAAAGAAAAAAATGAACGAACATAACATTAAACCATCACCACTTAAAATCATAAATGTTTTTGAATTAAATAATATTCTGAATTAGTTAGAATAATACAATAAATATTTAAGTTATAAATTAAAATAATACAAAATATAGGTAATAATAATAGAACATGCTGTTAATAATCATATAATAATAATACTATTGTTTCGTGATTGACGTGAAGTTTAATTTCCTCACTCAGTTTTATTAGTTGAAAATAATTGTTTTTATACTCGAATAATATCAAACTTTTTAAATGTATAATTAAACAAGTATATTATATACAAGGATATTCAATATAACGTCCGTATACCCCGTATATTATACTAAAACTTAGTCTAACATTCGTTTTACAACTTAAAGTTTATCCAGTATTACATTTCTGCAAATAAAATAATTCTTGTAATAATCGCACTAAGTTATTTTTGGATGTATACATGATATACGTTTATTTTATTATATTTTTTGAACGAATGTAGAGCGATATACAATGGTTTAGTTTAGAATCAAATTGGCCTGCTTGATTCTATTTGCGCTCTTTTCGAAAATCTGAAATTATGCCTTTA